TAATTTGTGCTTAGGTTATTGACAAACATTGGCTTGCGATGAGCCAGTGACGGAGTTACTATGGTAATAAGTAACTTTTAAAATGTTATGTGATTATTATTTGTGCATTAGTACATAGAAATTGATGTATGTTATTATATGTGCTATGTGATATATGTTACATGATATGAACCTATATGATACATGTTATATGATATTAGATTAAGTGATGAAACATAGATATATATATATATATATATGATATAAGAATAAAACATGAATCAAATGATATTTAAGTATGTGAATATAATATATGTGATAAGTGATGTATGTGAATCATATGAACACAAGAGAAGTGTTATAAGCTAAGTGACATATGATTATGAAATCATATGAAAAGTGAAATGTGCATGTGAAATGATATAAATGATATTGCCCATGTTATCTGATATGAGAGCTAGTGGTATAGTTGACATGCCAAGAGTCGAGGGTTACAGTGTTCCTACGGGACATAGTGGTCCTTCGGGACAAATTTCAGTGCCCCTAGTGGGAATTTTATGAGCTGTGGTGAGAGCATTTGTGTACAACCTCAGTGTACTCACATACCTTCAGTTCTCAACAGTGTACATGGGCTAATAAAGAGATTTAATAAATATACTGAATACGATATGTATGTGTTTTTATATGATATGATCGTAATAAATGTTCATGCATTTGATATGAATTATATGATGTTGAGTGTATTTTTTTCTGAAATGTTTTATGGTTTCCATTATATGTTTATATACCTCACTAAGTCTATGACTTAGCGTAGCGAAAAGAGAAGTAAAGAGGAACAAGACATGTCAGTTCTCCTTACCAAATATCAGATCAGAAATATCGATTGAATTACATGTATTTTGTTAAATAGAATTTTAGTTGGCATGTAAAGAGGAACAAGACATAGTTGGAATGTTTTAAACGTATATATGTAAATGTGAATGCATAGTAATGAATGGTTAAATTTTTACGAGTTTTATGTACATTTTACGAAAATCACTGTAGCAGTACATCGATGCACTGTAGCAGTACATCGATGCACTGTAGCAGTGCATCGATGCATAATTTTGCTTCGAAATTTTAGTGCATCGATGCACTGTAGCACTGTTAATTACTATTTATGGTACTGTTCATACCGTATTTTACTGTTTATAAATATATTTTTGCCTCAAAATTTTATAACAAATACAATTCAACAATATATGATCGTATTTTCTTAATATAAGTTCAAATGTTTGGTTATTTTGCATGAATAGGTTTTGAAATGTCAATGTAACATCTCGGACTCGTATCCGGGTCGAATACGGGTTGGGGTGTTACACCTTGACCCTCTAAATCATTAACTTTGACCTGACTATTGACTTTGATCACGTTGACCTTTGAATTTGACCAAAAAGTTAAATTTTTTGTATTTTATATTTCGATTCGATCTGTTTTTCCGATTAAATTCCATTTCTAATGTAATTTATTTTGCTATGAATCCGAGATATTATGGGATGGTGAATTCACATTCTAGAATGATCGAATGTAGTTTAATTAGTCAACCAATGTGGTCTGAAAATTGAGGTAATACTCTACTACCCTATGCATGTTTTACGTTACATGTTGCTAATTGTTTGATGCATGATTTAAAATGTTAGTATAGTAAATCCCGATGAATATTCTTAATTTGTACTAAATATGTTAAAAAGGATATGAAATTGGTTATGACTAGATCAAATTGTTTAGAAAATGAAAGACCGACAAGGAATAATTTTAAGGTTGGTGATTAAGTGAAAAAGGAATTAAACTTATGATATGTAAATTCTAATTCGTTAAATATTAAATGCTAAAATACATTAATAATAAATTATGAAAATACCCATGTGATATAAAAAGATAAGGATAGTCTCTGAAAGTGATAAATAACCCTAAAAAGGCTTGTTTAATCTAATTAAATTACTGATGTGTGTGTTAAATGATATATTTGTTTATAAAATTTTGATATTTGATTTTAACCTTCAAGATTGTAAAAGAATTAGAATTTCAATTCTTGAATAAACATCAAGAGACTAATTTACTAAAAGTAATTTAAATGATTGAATTACCCTTGAGACAAAAAAAGAACATGAATCTTCTCTGATGTGGAAATGACCAAGGAATTCATTTTTTTACTTGTTAGAAATACGAATTCAATGATTAAATTTCTCATCTGATTAAGAAATATTGATAATTGATTCAAATCCTTTGAGATCAAAACATACTTAGATATTCTAATTTATGAATAAATATCTGAAGACCAAATTAGTGGAAGTACTCTATATTCAGAATTGGATAAAATAACCATAATAATCTGGAACGTTGATATGACTAGAATAACCTCGAATACTGAAATTGCTTAAATTACCTGTATGACCAAGAAATAGGTGAATACACTTGGACAATTATGGAAACACAAATGAATCTATATGTTGCACAATTCCTAAAGGTTATGAAGTCATTTTGGATATTGTTGCCATACACAAATAAATAATATCATCGAATTACATGTTCGTTCCCTCGACATCTGTTCAATGGTGATATTGATGGTGATCAATTCTACTAGTGATGTTATTATTAAGGGATGAATATTCTTAAAGTATATTGGTTCGAACGAATGACAAGTATTGTAGTGTTGAGGTATGTTTAGTTCGATTTGACTCGAAATCTTGAGAATTCAATATAAATTCAGCATACAACGAATTATCATTTTACCCTTATTAGGTTAATTTTACTAAAAATTATCCTAGTAGTAAAATGAATAAAATGCTCTAATGGCTTAAATAATGAAACCAATATCGTAATATCAAAATATTAAATTATTCTGATGTAAAGGTTCCTTAATAACTTCATGATGCACTTGAATCCTCTATGGTCCTGAAGCATTGATTTATAAAAGTTTGAATAGATCCGTTAGTAATCAAACCCTTTTAATATGGATCTCATTCCTGAAATCCGATCAATTTTATGTAAGTTCATATTTTAAATTCCTGATAATTATCAAGTGCCTCCAAAAAATATCTAAATCCTCTAGTGTATTCCCTATTCACAAAGATGTTTTCTATGATTATAAAGGTATGGCTATGATGTCTGAAATAAAAACTCAATCTCTGATCTCTGTTTCTTCATATATAATATAGGCTCTTGATCTCTAATATTACTCGTTATTGGTTACTATATGTATGATCTGATTTTTATTGGGGTACTGTATGAGTAAGATTATAGAGTTATGACGTTCAGCTCTGATCAAACTAGTAATTCATTATAGACTTAACGCGACCCTTGGGTAGACTCTTATGCCCTAAGGTACTATCTTGGGTAGGCTCTGAATCCCCAAGGTACTCTTTTATGTTTACTCTTACACCCAATTGATTTAGGATAAATCCTTATGGATGCAGTTATGGGAAAACTTAATATGAAGTGTTTGGTTGGAGGGTATCACTCTGTTTTAAAAATATGTTTTATTGAAATAAAATACTATTTTTGATTTTATTGGAAGAGACTAGACTCCTCGATTCCATCTTCTGAATCAGTCTTTTTGAATGTTTCCTCTTAACTATAAACTTCCTAACTGATACCTAAAGAATTAATTAGTGAAATCTCAACTCATCATTATGACCTGTATATGCCTGAATAACTAAGGAAAACTTTCATGTTGCATCATGTATCTGCTTGGCCTTTAACATCTTTTGGTAATATTGTATTACTAAGCTTTCCTAAAGTTTACTATGTTACTCACCATTTCAGGTTAAAGGAATTGATCATGAGCAGTTATCAACATCGGTAATGGGAGCTCCCTTGCTGTTGCTCGCGAGTACGATACCCATATAATTAAGGGGTATGTATGTCATATTTGTTTTTATAATGAGTCTGAAACTTGTACGATATTGTGTATAATTAAAATTTTATTTTTAATAATTGAATGATTTTTGAACTTGTATTTTATTTGTTAAGTTGTTTTACCGTTTTATATGTTTTAATAAAAAAAATCTTAAATTTTTATTGTAAGTCGCTTCGATAACTCTAATGTGGTACATTGTATCAAATCGAGTCACTCGAATCAGTTTGAGGATATTACAGTTATCATGTACTTTCTTAAATCCATTTTGCCCTACGCTTCCATGCGCGAGTGTAACACACTATTTACCATCAAATGTTGTATTGCGCGCACACACATATATATATTATTAATCTAGTTAAGTATAAGACATTTTGTTTAAAGATAATCCTTAATCATTTGACATTAGATGTTATATTTTTATGTTCAAAAGTAGGATTTCAAAAAATAATAACAATTTATTTACCAATTAAATTGTTTGGTTCGTGCTCTGCACACGTATATTTATATATTGATATTGGGTTATTTAGTAAGGAGGAGAACAAAATTGATCAAAATTTCTTATGTTTCAGTCAATATTATAGTTGTCTAAACATGAGAAAGAACAATAAAGTGGGGGAAGTATTGAATTTCCGATTCACATGAACAAGCAACGTAACAAGTGGATTATTGCCCAGTTTGTCATACTTTGAATTGCAGCCGAATAAGTAAAGATTAAAATCAGCGGGGAGAATCCAGAAACAACCTTGAGAAACAGAAAAAAAAATCCTTTTCCTTAACCTTCACGCCTCCATTAATACCTATTACCTCCTTTGTCTTTCTCACCGCTAAAATTAACTACTCCTACTTACAATCATAAAGAGAAATAACCCATGTTCTTCCCTGCAGTAATAATTCCCTCCCTCGGTTGACTATTCGCTTTCTCTCTCTCTTTTGAGTGCCTTTCGACTTCCTTTTAAAATCCCACCTCTTCTACATGGAACTTTTATGAATTGAGGAAACAGAGCTTTACAGAGTAAAAGAACAGGGGAAGTAAAAAAAGAATAGATAACTGCTGAGGTTCTCTCTCCTTTACTTCTTAAGCTTTCTTTCACTATCTTCTTCTCTCTCTCTCTCTCTCGTCTACATGGATTCTTTTAAAGACAAAGAACAACGACATCATGGTCACAACGAAGCTAACTGCATTTTGGTTCAGGGGCCTATCATCGTAGGTGCAGGACCCTCTGGACTAGCAGCCTCGGCTTGCCTCAAACAAGAAGGTGTACCTTCTCTTATCCTTGAGAAAAGTGACTGCATTGCTTCTTTATGGCAACACCGGACGTATGATCGTCTAAAACTCCATCTTCCCAAGCAGTTTTGTCAACTCCCACTCCTAGGGTTCCCTCAAAATTTCCCCAAGTACCCGACCAAACACCAGTTCATCTCTTACATGGAGTCCTACGCTTCGCATTTCTCAATCCAACCTAGGTTCAACCAGGCGGTGATAAACGCCGAGTTTGATCATGTTACGGCGTCTTGGAGGGTTAAAACTCCAGACTCCGAATACATTTCAAGGTGGCTCATTGTTGCCACCGGTGAAAATGCTGAGCCTGTAATACCGGACATTTCGGGTATCAATATGTTTAAGGGTCGCGTCGTTCATACAAGTTTATACAAGTCTGGCTCCGAGTTTAAAAACCAAAGGGTTTTGGTCATCGGATGTGGTAACTCCGGCATGGAAGTCTGCTTGGACCTTTGTCGATACAATGCAATCCCTCATATGGTTGTTCGAAACACAGTAAGTTCATTTCATTATCCAACTTGTACATTTCGGATTGTTTTCCGTATTGCTCATGTTATTATCCCGTTGATTTTCAGGTGCATGTATTGCCGAGGGAGATGTTCGAATTCTCGACATTTGGTATAGCCATGGCACTTCTCAAATGGTTCCCCGTGAAGCTAGTGGATAAGTTGCTTTTGCTGGTATCCAGCTTCACCTTGGGCGACACAGATCAAACGGGTCTTCGGCGGCCGAAAACGGGTCCGATTGAGCTCAAGAATGTCACCGGAAAGACTCCGGTGCTCGATGTCGGTGCACTATCACAAATAAAATCCGGTAAAATTAAGGTAAAAGTACAGACCCTCGCGTTCCAATCACTTTCTTATATGCTTTTCAAGTGCTTCAGTTGATTTTTTTAGACATTTCAGGTGATGCAAGGTGTTAAGGAGATCACACGAAATGGAGCTAAGTTCATGGATGGACTAGAAAATGAGATTGATTCAATATTATTGGCAACCGGATACAAAAGCAACGTGTCTACGTGGCTCAAGGTACGATAATAACGTACTTTTTTTACATGTTTTTTCCGTTAGTTTTTGTACTTTATTTGCCTTTAATGGAAATATAGGGGTGCGATTTTTTCGGCAAAATTTTCGAGATAATGTTCTCGAATTTTTTATTTAACGATATAACGTACTCCCAAGATTAATTGCTCAAATAGGACGAATTGCACAGTGTTGGCCGTAGGTCGCCATGCCTTCCGGGCGACCTACGGCGTGGCAGCTTCCCAGCATAGGTCGCCATGCACTCCGGGCGACCTTGTAGGTCGCCATGCACTCCTGGCGACCTTGTAGGTCGCCATGCACTCCTCCTGCTCCTCGCGTGATTCCTCTTGCCCTCGCATAGCTCGCTCGAATGGCCTCGGTCGGATGCCCTCAGTCGGATGGCTTCGGATGCCCAACGTGTTGGAACGTGCATGACACATGCAATCTCTCTCATAGCTAGCCGGGAAGACATGGCGACCTAGTAAGTCGCCCGGATGGCATGGCGACCTACGACCAACACTGTAGATTTCACCCTATTTGAGCAATTAATCTGAGGAGTGCATTATCTCGTGAATTAATTTATTCGAGAACGTTATCTCGAGAGTTTAGCCGATTTTTTCACCAAAGATGGCATGCCTGAAACGCCGTTTCCTAACGGATGGAAAGCGGAGAAGGGATTGTACACGGTCGGGTTTACAAGAAGAGGGCTTCTAGGAACGGCTTCTGACGCCGTTAAGATTGCTAGAGACATTGGTGAACAATGGAGGATAATCAATGACGACTGTAATAAACAAGAACGTAAAATGTAATATAAATATTTACCGACGGTGGCTTTCGTTACCTCTTGTGACTGAGATTCATATGGTGATGTAAGCTTGTGCAGAATAAATCCGTATTAAAATAGAATGTATTTTAATTTCAAATTTTATTAGAAATCTGTGCTTAAATGTATAAATTATTTTTAAAAAAAACTAGAAACTATTAGTAAATTGTATAAAAGAAACAAGAGATGTCCATGTAGAAATAGACAATATATAAATTCAAACAGAAATACAAAACAGTGGAGGTTTCTATAGCAGTAGACAAATGAGGGCAGAGAAGCAATTAGAAGACAATTGGTGTGACTGGACACTTCAGCGCTGTGGCATTCCTTAGCAGCGACAGTAAGTATATCGCAACGCACAACTTTGTTTGCATCTAAAGTCTACGGTCTCTTCTGAAATTTACATTTAATCATGTCTATGGAGTTGGGTTTCTTGTTTTCTCTTTCTGCTTCATGCCTGATAATTGAGAAAATGATGGGGCGATCTGACGCCCTCCCTTCCCTTCTATTCCATTTTACGACTTGGCTTTTCTTCATAAAACGGATTGACAGATCTGCCTTGTTCATCTCATTGCTCTCCACGTAACAGTCTATTCGATGATTGCTGATGCTAACAAATCCCTTCTTCTCTCTGCCGCTATAATACAAGTTTACAGTGATAGAGAAGTGAAGGGGTGAGTTAAAATGAAAGGTGGGGATTTGGATTCTGGGAAGAGCATTGAATTCGAATATCACCGTCACACGATTCCAAAAGGCATATTTCTCTCACGTCACTCTTTCTGTCTGTGACCCTTGTTTGGCACTGAGAAGAGGCAGATTGCATTGTTTAATGATCAAACAGATGCAGGTTTTCTCGATTTTTTCGCTTTGCATGCTCCCCATCTGCTCGACCTATTGCCTACCATCTTTTTTACTTCACCAACGTCGGGTAATTGGTCATCTTTTAAAGGTGGATTTCACTTTCAGAGTTGGGTTTTGATTTTGAAATCAACAGGGTGGCGCGTGCATTAAACAGGATGTCGGTGTATGGCGGAAATTCGGGGATCGATTCAGGGGGCGTATCTATGAAATACAAGTATAGACTGGCATGACATGGCATGCGTATGTACTGATCGAAGACTGATGTTTGTGCACACTATTCATTACTGATATAACAGTTTTATTATCTTTCTTTGGATCTTGTTGAGATGATGATGAAATAATATTCCACTTCGCCATGGTTCAGTGCTGAAATAATGTTGGGCCCACTTTATATCACTGCCATGTTGCTTACTGCGTCGACGTTATCTTAGCTGACAGCAGATGGGAGAAGAACTGCCAAAGAGAGACATTTCCATGCCAGCTTACCAAAGACATTTAGGTGAAATTTAAATAATTCTTTTAAAAGATTTACAAAACTAATAAATTTTATTTTATGATTTTTTATGGCTCCAATTGCATCTCCATTAAAAGCTTCGCCCAATTTATGCAGAGATTCATGAACGGCATCGCTTCTGGTAAGCAAATGAAACACTTGCCAGTTGCCTCCTCTTCAATATCATAAAACAAAGACCAAGCATGATCTAATTTGATTTTTCATATACTAGCCAAAAGATTAACAGTTTGATATAGAAGGTGAGCGTTGTGATTGGTTTGATGACCATTAACGGTTACGGTTTGGGAGAGAAATAGGAGTTGTTCATGAAAGATAACCAGTTGATGTGAGCGATGAAATATTCAGCACCTCCATCGGGAGAGTAAACGAAGACGGCTTCGCCCCATCGAAACCAAATATGGAGAGTGGATCAAGTTGTATATAACCCCCCCCCCCCCCCCCGGTTCCTTCACCTTCACGGTTGGAGATCTTCTTACTGTAATAACACCAAACGCTACTTGGTTTTTCGATTTCTTCTTACAGTATATAATTGAACCAGCATTGAAATTCCGAATAAAAAATGCAGGCGTGGAGTAAAAGAAGAGTGTTTGCAGGGAATCATAGGGTGATGCTGAACAGAGACAGAGATCGGTGTTCTTTGGGAGCATTTGCGGTTCCGAAGGAGGGTACAATCATTAAAACACCGAAAGAGATGGTTGACGAGGAACGTCCTCGAGTTTTCAAGGATTTCGATTTCATGGACTTCGTCGATTATGCAAACTCAGAAGGTTCATTGCAAATTGACTCCTGTTTTCACATGCTGCTCTACCATGAAAATACGGTAAAAATTCAAAACGTATTAAGCATCAATGACAGGCATGAAACAGATAGCTCTTCGTAATAAGTAGGGATAGCAGCAAGTCAATATCTGCAATTTCTGTAATATCCAGCTTCGAACTACGCTTAAACTTTATACCTCTCTTTTATCTTCAGTGCCAGGTTCTGCTGCTTGAACCAGATTTCTTCCATCTCTCGCCATAACGACAGAGCCTCGAGGAACGCCTGCAACTTTATTCAGCAATGAACACCATAAACATACTAAAACTGGACTCTTTCGTATCAATTGCGGAATTCAAATTTATATTTAGAAGGATCACCTGTTTGTATCGGGATTCGATCGCCGGAACCAGTTGCTTGACTTACATTACCAGGAAGGGCTGTCTTTCCCTGAAGTTCTCGTGAGAACGTGATGCTACCAACTGCTTCAGGTTCCCCATTGGGTACATAATTTTCACCAACTGTCCTCACAGCAGATTTAGGAGAGTAAGTTGTCGACCAAGATCCTCCGTTCGAGCCGGCCAATGCCATTATCATGTCTGCCTGAAGTAACCATACAGCATATAGTTGTCATTAACAGAAATGTATATTACGAAACAATATACCTGACATGATATTCACGCGACATATTTTAAGATTATGCAGCCATTAAATATCATGCTTGTTGAAGTTAACAAAAGTGTGGCTGCAAACTAACCCTCTTCAAGCTTCGGAAAACTCGAATCATAAAAGAGGAAAGGTTGCACCAACTGGAGCTAAAATCAATGATTAACAGGCATGAAGTACCCTAATAGCCAATGCCAATGTGAAGCAACAAGATATAACAGAACACAACCGCCAGGTAAACTCTAATAACCAGAATTATAGATTTGCATATGAAATTACAACTAAACTCTAATAGCAATCAATTTTCCACTTGCTTAGAACCATTATCTCAGAAAATCGAGCAAAAAAGGTAAATCTCAGTAGCAATCAAATTTCCAAGTCTAAAATCTTCGGTCTCTCAATGATCAATGATCATTAGCAATCGAGTTATACCATATATGGTGTTAAGCTCAACAGTCCTCTTGTGCATAACATTGATTCAATCAGCAAGACAGAATTTTGAAACCTAGTTGCATCAGCTATTAATGGATTATATAACGTAACTATGATAGCAACTTACCCTAGCCGGCGAATGTTCGATCAGATGAAATACTTGAATCATATAGAAGTTTACAAGCAACTTGAGGTCCATTAGCATATAACAAGAAACTGACCTTGTTCAGATGCACATCATCAAAGACATGAGCCTGACCAGCATAAAATATAGTCATTTGTCGGCTGGCAGTTGTTAATCCCTGTCGACTGTAGCACAAAGAAGGCATTGCATATATAATCTCTACATTTCTTTTCTTTGCAGAGCATGACAATAAAAAAAAAAGAACAAAAACTATTATATTCACCTTGGAGGAACTAAAGACTCTGTTTCTGAATACGAGCACCAGACGTAGACCGTTCTCCACTTGACAGTATCCCAAATGAACCCTTTTCAGCGGGAACACTACTAGCATTAATAGAAGTTAAAATTCCAGGGCCTTTAATTCCAGTTCTAGATCCTTCATCGGCAGCAGCGTGAGAGATACCAGATGGACCGACTTTTGTATCCTCGGACCTGTTTGAAGATACTTGATGCACAAAAGGCGCAAAGTGACCACCACGTGAACCATACTGAACTACAGAGGGGACACCGCTCCCATTTGGTAGCATTACCTTCAAGTCTGCCACAATGGGAGGCTGCAATATACGAGACGTAGAAGAATGACTCATCGACTTCATACCAAGGGATACTTCGTCCTCATTGGACCATCTAGGTCGCTCTTCTCCGGACCCATTGCGGAGCATCTGAACACAAACATAAAGAAAATATTTACAACATAGGAATAACTAACAAAAAATTGAGTGTTTCTCTCACTTGAGAAGGGAGAAGTAAAACATGATAAAGACACGATATCGACAAAAACCTTCATCAAATGCAAGCTCTCAAGAGATTCATGAGCCATAAAGGCCGAATCCAAATTACTTCTCTTACTTCCTGCCAAACTGTTGCTTATATCCGCCCAGATTTCGCTCCTTGGACTGTAGTATGGAATCCCTCGAGATGATTTCCGACCTGTCTTTCTACTAATTTATGAGAAAAATGGATCAAACTTTAATCGAGGCGGGTTGAATCTCAACTCATAAGATTACATATTATTATGGCAAATGTAACAAGCTCGAAGATTAGGAATGTCAACATACTGAGATAATATGCATATAATTAGATCAAAACGAGTAAGAGCTAACACATAATGCTTAACGAAATACTGCAATTATGAAAAGCTTTTTGTTCGCAATAGATGACAACATTAGGTACCAAATCGAGGCATCAAACAGCAGCATAAAATCAAACACCATAATGGCTTAACCTACCTTCAAAAGGTAGACAAATTAGAGAACTACAAATTCACCAGTGAAAGTGAAACAATAACCCCTTATTTTTAACTCTATTTGATCCACAGCAAATTAACCAGAGAAAAAATAACATGTCAAGCAAAAGCAAAACTACCCATCAAACCATACAACAATAATCACATTTTCTTCATTCCATCATTCCCTAATGAGCGACTATAGTCTAAGTTTTAACATGAAAATCACACATAGAAACAACGTGAAAAGGGAATGAAGAGAAACTAAAAAACCCAAGTAAGATTCCGCAAAGCTAAAAGCAAACAACTTCATTAAAACTTTTTAGCGTTGAAGAAAATGAAGCAAAAAAGAATAAGAAGAATCTTAAAGGGAAAGATGGCGAAACGAACCAGAACCCCGAGATCAGAGTGGAATAGATGGGTCCATGGCCAGCTCCACCACCGCCACCAGAAAGCACCGACGGAGGCTGAAGGAGACGGGAAGCATCTGGGAACCTTGCGTCATGGCCTTGGGGGCTAAAACGACAGAAGAATTTGCAGCTTTCGTACCCAGGAAGTCGTGGAACATTGTTGGCTTTACTGCTGTGCTGCGGTATTGCAAATGAATTGGGGTGTTGGTAGTGTTGCTTTCAGAACGGCCATCTCATCATCATAACCAATATAGTCTCCACATCACCACCATTCATCTGCATGCTGCCCTACTCCATAGCCTAGCTTCTAAATTCCTCTTTTTTTCGTCAAAAGAGCTCGATTTTTTATATATAAAAAACAGGGGAAAGAAACCGGTGTGAAACACAGAATCGAAGTCCTTTTATGAATTATTAAATGATTCTGAAAAAAACAAAAATTTAGATATTAAAATTAATCGAAATTAATAGTTTAAATACTAAATGTGAAATTTACCCTTAATAATAACATGTGAGCAGCAACAACATCACAAGCACAAAAGCCAAGGTAAATAATTCATCTAAAAATAAATATGCTGCCACCTAGAATTTTTTTTTTTTTACATATTTGATAGTTAAATTATATTCATATACTTGAATAAAGTATGGCTGTTAGAGATTGAATCAAATTTATTATGCCACACACCACGAACATTGAGGAATTATTTGTATCTTAGAGAAATTACAACTAGGGATGGCAACAAGTTGAGTTAGGATTGAGTTTTTGTCAATTCAATCCGACTCAAAAATATGAATCTTTCATTCGAATTTGATCTAATTCGAAAATTTTATAATCTCCACCAATCCGATCCAATTTGAAAAACATATAGTTTCCACCAGACCCGATTTTACAGTATGAAATTGGTTTGATCCGACCCGATTAAAAATAAGGATTTAATTAAATTAATATGAATTTTTTAAGATAATTGCATTACTATTATCGGGTTGGGTCAGAGTTTTCACCATATATCGAACCCGACTCGACCTCATCCCTTAGAAATCAAACCCGAATTCGATTTTTTTAATTAAAAAATATAACATTGTCAGATCGGGTCAAAACGTTTTGGAATCGGATTAAATTGTCATCCCTAGTTACAACTAATAGAATCTAAGCCAATAACTTTATGAAAAGAAAGAAAACTGCTTGTCAGGTTAGATTGCATAAGAAAATCAAGAATTTAAATTATGATTGAGTTCATTACGTGATTAATATAAAATAATAATTTAAAAACGCAAAATATTTAAAAGAAAAGGTTCTTTTGTGGAGCATTTGCTTTTGCCGAAGTGTTTGAATGGATCAGAGTCCTTTTCTTAGATATCATCATGGATTGGATTATGTCCAACTTTTTATTCATATGAATTCGATTCAAACAAAATATTTTTTTTATCTGTCATCTGATCTGATTTTGGTTTATGATAATTTGGTAGCCTACTGCATTTGCATGTTGCATAAAAGGAAATGAAATGCATAAATATGTAATTCGTCAAGGCACATGCAGTCTTCATGCCAATTTCTGGCAGCTTTACTAAGTATGTATATGGCTAAAACAACTGCAGACTGCATGGCAAATAAAATCCCTGATTAAAGAACCTTAAAAATGTTGAAAACATACTCGACTATATATATATATATATATATATGGGATAGGATCGGTTTATACTCAGAGTAATACTAAAAGTTTTATATCTTTTTATGACCATTGGAGGGAAGAAATCAAATGTTGAGATTAAAAGTAAGAATTGAGAAAATATTTACTAAAAAAAGTAAAGAATTGACCTCAGGTTTTGATTTCCCTCAATCATATAGTCCTAAAAAGGTTATAAACTCTTAGTTATACATTAAATGTAAGTAGATCCTAACCCTTATATATACACATGCACAGGCACATATACCAGCCATAGTTGTAGGCTAAAACTAAAAATCCACATAGCCCAAAAAGCCCAATTCACAGATGGATAAACAAAAACCAGCCTATAGTGTCAGCTTAATTATTGGAAATAGAAGAATATGTCAATTCTCTTTCATCTTTCTAGATATTCAGTTTTCATCTGGTAAAAAAATTGGTCAACTATACATTTAATACTTAAACTATTTTTTTTGATCCATTTAAGTATCTAAACTTTCATTTTTTTCAAAATCATACATAATGTTTAGTTTTTTTTTTCTATAT